TCTTGAATTTATTGACATTTGGTTTTTGATCTAAAATATGATCTATCATGGAGAACATTCGATTGCATGTGAAAACAATGTTTACTCATATTTTGGGGGAATGTAATGGCCTATAAATGTGCTATGTGCTATTAAGCCTATGTGCTCTAATTCCTCAATTAAGGCTATTGTTTCATTGTTGATTTTCTGCCTGTCTGATGAGTAGGGTATTGAAGTGCCACACAACTGTTGTGTGGCCTCCAATATCTGTTTTCCTAGTTGTTACCAGTTACATAATGGTCTAATATAATAGTCATATATTTTTATGCTTCTTCACTTCAATAGTCATATTGATGAGTATTATGTCTTCCTGATGTGTTGCTCATTACATAATCACCACCACTAACTTTTTTTTAACTGTAAGTTTATTTTATTTGATATAAGCATAGCTGTCCCTTTTATTTTGGAGATCCCATTTGCCTAGGATTATTTTCCAACCATTTACTTTGAAGTTGTAGTAGTATTTGGAACTCGAATGAGACAGTAAAGTGTTGGGTTTTGCTTTCTGATTCAACCTGTCACTCTGTACCTTTTCATTTGTGAGTTTGACCCATTTGTACTTAGGATGATTGTTTGTATGTGTGGCCATTTTATCTCTAAATTGCTGATTCTATTTACTATTTTTTCTCTTGAAATTCTTTTTCACTTTGAATTAGATAAGAGAACTCCTTTCAACATTTCTGTAGGGGAAGTCTGGTGTTTACAAACTCCCTCAGAATTGGTTTGTTCAAGAAGGCCTTTATTTCTCCCTGATACCTGATGGAAACCCTTGCAACATAGAGTAGCGTCAGGCAACATGACACTGATACATGGGAGTCATGGAGCAGACTGCACAATGCAGGATGCTGCTGAACAGGCAGAATCCTGGCCTTTTTATTGATAGAATAATCATACAGCATCAGTTATGTGGGGTAGGAGGACAAGGAGAAAAAGATGGGTGAAACTAAAGAATGTGTTTTTGCCATCTAAGGCTTCAGGGGAACATGAGTCTGCTGACCAGATAATTGTTATCTGCTTGATGACCAAGTGTTGTAATTGAAACCATACCCCAGACTCCTGGCCATGATTCTAATCTTATCAACAAGGCATTCCACTGATCGGCTTCTGGGGTCCCTTGTTGTACATTGGTGTGTGGCCCTCCAGGCATTCATGGTCATACCTCATGATGTGTAAGTCAGGAGTAGATTTTGTGCATCCGTTCTCAGCCCCCTGGGTATTCCTGATCATACCTCATGATGCATAGCCTTCCCAGAGTGATCAAGCTTTCTGCTCTTGATTGATTTGATAGTCACCTTGTAAAGTTTGGCTCCTATGACTGATTGACCTGTTTCTGAAGGGCAATTCTGACCTTTGTAGGAACTGCAGGTAACAATAATGTTGGCTGAACAGGCTGCTAAAGTCTAGCAGACCCACAGGATAGTTTTTTTTTTTTTTTTTGGTTGGCAGTTTTTATCTTTAAGTATTTTGATCATGTTATCCTATTTTCCCCTTAACCATAATGTTACCTTAGAGAAGTCAGATAAGCCTGATAGGGTTCCTTTATAGGATATTTTCTTCCTTCCCCTTGCCACTTTCAATATTCTTCCTTTGCCTTGAACTCTTGGAAGTTTCACTAAACGTGTCTCAGTGTAAATCTCTTTGCATTTAAATAACTAGTTGTTCTTTCTCCTTCATGGACTTATACATTTGTTCCTTCCCATACTTTAGGAAGTTTTCCTCTGTTATTTCTTTGAATCTTTATATTCTTCCCTCTCTTTCCCTCTGCAATACCCATTATTGTATTGTTTTTCCTATGTAGTCAGATAATTCTCAAAATGTTTCTTTATTTTGTTTTTCTTTGTATTTTTCTTTTTCCTTCTATCTGGATCCTTTGTGATTTATCATCTTTGAGTTTACTGATTCAATCTTTTTTTTTTTCATTTAATCTATTTTGCTTTCATAGATTTCTCAAAAATTTACCTAATATATTCATTGTTTTATGTCCTGCATCTCTGTTATTTTCTTAGTTAAACTTCAATTCTATATCTGCTCATTAATTTTATTTCTCATGTCATTAATTTGTTTTTATAAGTGTTTTCTAGTTATTTTATTTTCTTCATCATGGCAATTTTGAGCTCTGCATCTGCTTAGAGGATAAAATCTGTGATATCTAGCTTTGTATTTAAATTATGAAAGGTTGCTCTCTTCTTCTGATGGCAGATTTCCCATGAAGTATCATGTACCATGTGTTATATTTTTCCAACTGCCCATATGTTGCTTTTGATTTCCCTAGTTTTTTAAAATAAAACTTTTCCCTAGGCTTAAATGACTTTAGATGTTTAATCATTCCAGGCTTTCTCAGTCAATGGTGTGTGATTCCATACCACTGAGCTCTCCCCTCTCCAGGGACACTGGCCACCAGCCAGACAGCAAAGCCATGGTTTGTGAGAAAGTCTCCCTCCCAGGACTACAACCTCTAGGCATTTCTCTTCACCCTCCTCTTGTTTAAAATAAAGTATCAGTAACTTCAGTGTCTCTTATGGGGCAGTCCATGCTGGTCTCTGATATCTAAGAGGTGTTTCAGTTTACCTTTAAGGGTGCAGTGTTGGTAGAGGTTAACTTTCAGATTATTGTCCCAGGAATAAAACAAGGGAATTCCTCTGACATCATCTTTAACCAAAGCCCTTTTATATTAATTTTGCATAGTGTTAACTTCCTAAATTGATGTGTTAATTCTTGAAGTTATTTTTGCATTGTTTTGGACTTTACCTGTAACAAAGTCATTTGAAAATAAATTTTACTTCTTCTTTCTGAAATTTATACCTCTTATTTTATTGAACCTGCAATACAATATTGAAAAGAAGTGGAGAAAGAAGACTTATTTTCCTTGCTCCTGAGTTTAGAAGGAATACATCCACCTTTTCATCATTACATATGAAATATGTGCTTTTATATAGATAGACAAAGTTGGTTCAATTTTGACAGTTTTCTGATAGATGAATTTTGTATGTAGAATTGTGTCACATATTGAGATTATCATAAATAATTTTAGTTCACCGACTCATTTGTAAACATGGACCCAGTATTGTATTTATATATTTCTTTTTTTTTTTTTTTTTTTTTTTTTAAAGATTTATTTATTTATTGATTGATTGATTGATACACATACATACATACAAGCACTGGGTACAGTCAGAAGCGCGGGAGGGTGAGAGAATTCACCAGAGCCAGAGCGGGGTGCAGAGCAGGCAGAAGGACCAAAGTACACTGCTGAGGGGAGCAGCGGGCGGCAGGAGAGGTCTGCGCACCATGTGGGACCCTCCTCTGGTGGCCGGGGAGCAGCCGGGGATCGAACCGGCACTGCAGAGGCTGCGGGCAGCTTCGCAACCCAGTGCTCAACCGCTGCGCCACAGGGGAGGCCCTGTATTTATATATTTCTATTTATACTGTAAAAAATATCCTGAGGATTGTTAAAGCTATGCTCACTGGGGATGTCAGTCTGAAATTCACATTAACCTTATTTTTCATTTTTGTTCTCAGCACTATTTTGAATATGTAAAATAAGCAGGATGGAGTCCCCTCCTACTTTGGTTTCTAAAGGAGTTTGTTTAAGATTTTCATTGTGCATTTCATTACCTTGTAATAGAATTAATCACATGACCTCAAATGTTCCTTATTGGACATTTTGTGATTCCAAATACAATAAAATATAGAGATTTAAATATATACCTACTTGCTATTCCTTCTTGAGTTGGTTTTCATGCTTTGTTTTTCAAGAAGTGTTTTTATTTTTGGAATCATGAAATTGTTACCATATTGTCATTTAGAGTAATTCCTCATAATTTTAAAATATATGATCATTTATATTTTTCTTTTTACTTAATCTCTTTTGTAAACGTTTTAATTATAATTGAAGTTAATTAAATTGTGACTAGCTTTTTCTTTTTTGCTTCCTCTATATTTCTGCACCTTATGTCCCTCCTTTGAGATACTTTTGGTTATTTGCACTTTTTCCTAGCTTCTTAGTGATTAACTGATTTAATAATTTCTTCATTTTTAATATGGATTTTTAAAGCTATAAATATACTTCTGATAATTTCTTTAGCTGACTGTCATACATTAGGTAAACTATTTGCAATACAATTTTATTTGAAATAGCCTGTTAATTCATTGCTAAGATGGCACAGCTAAATTAAAAAAAAATTCTTATAGGAACAAAAATGTCTCAGGATATATAGGATAATTCCTTGTAATATAGAGTTTTATAAAAATGATTTGAAGGGATAACATATAGAAAGGAGAAACTGATTCAAAGCTAGTAAATGAGTCTGCAGCAGTTTAGTAAACACTATAATCCTGTACAACAACTTAAGTTCCACATCATTAATATCTTCTTAGGATTTACACATTTCATGACAGTTCTTAGGATTTACACATTTCATGACAATGTTTTTTTGAAAACAAAACATTGATGAGGTCATTACTGGAAACCTAGCCATCACCATTTTAAGTCAATGGGTCCTGTTGAATTACTTTCCTTCCAAAGTAGGAAAGAAAAAATCTGAAATTTTGAAATAGTTTTAGAGATAATGAAGAAATATATCAAAACAATCTAAGGAACAATAGTATTTTATTTATTTATTTATTTGTTTGTTTGTACATGCACTGGGTACAGTCAGAAGCGCGGGAGGGTGAGAGAATCCACCAGAGCCAGAGTGGGGAGCAGAGCAGGCAGAAGGACCGAAGTACACTGCTGAGGGGAGCAGCGGGCGGCAGGAGAGGTCTGTGTGCCATGTGGGACCCTCCTCTGGTGGTCGGGAAGCAGCCAGGGATCGAACCGGCGCCGCAGAGGCCGCAGGCAGCCTCGCAACCCAGTGCTCAACCGCTGAGCCACCGGGGAGGCCCAACAATAGTATTTTTTTATGCCAATATTGTTCTTGGTTACTCATAGACACTTCTGTAACTCCAAGCAAATATTTCTGTTACTTATTGAAAGTGACTGTGCTTACAAGGCTTTTCAGGCCTGCCCTAATATCCTTGTTTCTCAGACTGTAGATGAACGGATTCAACATTGGTGTGACCACAGTGTACATCACAGAGGCTATTGCACTAGCCCTATTATTTTGGGTAGCAGCAGAACTGAGATACACAGCAAGACCTGTGCCATAAAACAAGGAAACTACTGAGAGGTGAGACCCACAGGTAGAAAATGCTTTGTACTTTCCCATTGTTGATGTAATTTTCAGTATGGAGGAAACAATTTGAGAATAACTAAAAACAATGCCAGAGAGGGGAATAATGCCCATGAGCACAGTGGCAAAATACATCTCTATCACATTGAGGAGGTTGTCAGAACAGGCAAGTTGAATAACCTGATTGATTTCACAGAAGTAGTGGGGGATCTCTGAGTCAGTACAGAAAGACAGATGCAACACCAGTAAACCACGTATCAAAGAGTCTGTGACACTAAATATCCAGGATATCAGCAATAGCAAGCCACAGAACCTGGGATTCATAATGGTTGTATAGTGCAATGGGTGGCAGATGGCCACAAACCTGTCGTAGGCCATAGCAGAGAGGAGAAAAATGTCCAATTCCGCAAAAAGGATGAAAAAATATATTTGAGTGAGGCAACCTTCATAAGTGATGGTTTTGTTCTGGATATAGATATTCAGTAGCATTTTTGGGATAGTGGTAGAGGTGAAACAGATGTCTGAAAAGGACAGGTTGGAGAGGAAGAAGTACATGGGCGTGTGTAGGTGAGAGTCAGTGATGGTAGTTAGAATGATAAGCAGATTTCCAGAAAAAGTGATCAAATACATAGAAAGGAAAAGACCAAAAAGGAGGGGCTGAAGCTCTGCTTCTTCTGAGAGTCCAAGCAGGATAAATTCTGAAAACTGTGTGTTATTTTCTAGTTCCATTTCACTGGTGTGACTGTCCCTAAAGAGGCAATAAGAGCAATAAATACAAATAGCCATTGTCAGTCAACTGTACTACTACTGATTATATTTTCACATAATATAAAGCAAATATTACATTTTTCATGTAAATTCCTGCATTTTATCAATGGACCAAATTCAGTTTAGATTAAAATTTCAAAGGAGTAAAAATGTAACCATTGTCTGTCTGCCACTAACCACACTCTACTTAGCAATCTAGTACCTAGTCATATCTTATTCCTTTAAGGTAGCATTCTTTCTACCATATCTCTGAGATAGACTCATCTATATTCTTGCTCTTGAGAGCATCGTCAATGAACCTGAAGCATTAGAATTATGTGTGAAACTCATTACCAATGCAGTATTATATGAGCAAAACAATATGTTCAGCTAGTCAGAAATGCAGTCATTGTTCTGTTTATTTATTTTTTGTTAATGGTCCTCATAGTGCTATGAGGTAAACAAATGACCATATCATGGCTGATTAACATAACAAGCTTTATTTTCTCATAATTTGAAAGTCCAGAATCTTGAAGTTAGTTTCATGGAGCTAAGTCAAGGTATTGAAAGAGCTGACTACTTTTTGAGGCTGCAAAGGTGAGTCTGGTTTTTTGCTTTTCCTACTTCTGGAGACCACTTGAATGACTCAGACTCTTTCTTGAATTACTCCATCTTTTTATTTCTATCATATCATGTCTCTCATCTCCTGCTTCCCTTGTAAAGAAAGCTGTGATGCAAATGGGGGCCTTCCCAGACTTGATAATTCAGAAATATCACCACAACTAAAAATTCTTAGTTTAACCTACATTCAAAGTCCTTTTTTTCATACATGTTATGTTTCCAGGTTCTACGGATTAAGATGAAGGAATTAGGGACATTACTCAAACTACCACAGCAGCATGCAGAAATAAAAGTGAATTCAGATCATGTGCATAGACATGAAAAGATGACAAGTGACAATAATATATACATTTATGTCATACATTACTACTGCATAATAAAGAAAGGGCTTGGCTTTATGTGCTGGATTTCTGGTATGGAGTTTCTAAAATCCTTGATATTTCCAAAGTAGAAAAAAAAAAGGTCCCTGTGATGTTAATAAAGTGACTTATGGTGGATCCTTGGATAGCTTCAGTATGGGTTCGTCACTTGAAGGAACATGTGATCAGAAGTTTGGGTCTTATAGCTATCACAACCTCCAGGCATGTGCAGGAGGCTGGAGATTATATACAGTCACAAGGTGAACGATTGAATACAGCATACATATGTAATAAAACCTCAATAAAGACTTCACATTGGAATCAAGAGTTTCTTGGGTGGTGAACACATAAATTTACTATATTGGTGATACAGCCTGATACTATGGGAGGGGGGAGAGCATTAAAATTCTGTATTTGGTTCCCTTCCAGACCCCATTCTATATGTATATTTTACTGCCCATGGGTTGTATCTTTCATAACAAAAATGTTGAATCACAATTATAGTGCTCTGTAAGTCATTCTCATGAATTATTGAACCTGAGGTGCCATTTGGAATTCCAAAATTTGATGTCAGTTCATCAGAAGTGTGTGTCTTCTGGGAGCCTGATAAACTGACTGGAATCTAATGTAAAAGCTGTGCTATTAAACTGTGGTATCTGCCACCGCCTGCGTGGTTAGAGTCAGATTTGAATTACAAGACACTCAGCTGAGCTTGAAATAGAAAAACTACATGTGCTGTACTTCATAGCACTACTCTGATAAAGTCTTATAATCATCCTTTTATAAGCTTTGTGTGGTTGGTAGAATTGTAATAAAACCTCCATGCTCTTTACCCATAGGTGTTACCCCCATGATTAAGTTATGTGGCAGATTTATTTTTTTGCATATATAATTAAATGCTTGAATAAAAAACAAGAAAAAACCTAAATAAACAACCTTGCTACTAACCTTGGGAACTAGAAAAATAATTTTAAAAAATACCAAGAAGGAGTAGAGGGAAATAAAACTCAGAGCAGAAGAAATGAGATGGAAGTCAAAGATAGTTCAAAAGATCAATGAAACCCAAAGCTGGTTCTTTGAAAATATAAAGAAAATAAACAAACATGTAGCTACACTCATAAAGAAAAAAAGATGCAACTCAAATAAAAGAAATCAAAAATGAAAGAGAAGTTACAACAGATACTACAGAAATTCACAGGGTAATAAGAGATTACTATGAACATGTACCTGCGAAAAAGATTCTACAACCTACATGAGGTAGACAGATTCTTAGAAGTATACAATTATCCAAGACTGAATAGGGAAGAAGTAGAAAACCTGAACAAACCAATCACAAGCCAAGAAACTGAAATAGCAATCAAAACTCTCCCAAATACAAAAGTCCAGTACTAGATGTCTTCACTAGCAAGTTCTAACAAATCTTTAGAGAATAACAAATACATACCCCACTCAAACTCTTAAAAAATTGAGAAAGAAAGAATATTTCCAAACATATTTTATGAGGTCAATATTATACTAATACCAAAACTAAACAAAGACAATATAAAAAAAGAAAACTACAGACCAAATATCCCTAATGAACATCAATGCAAAAATTCTCAATAAAATCCTTGCAAACTGAATCCAATGATGCATTAAAAGGATTATACTTCACAATCAAGTGGGATTTATACCAAGAACACAAGGATCATTCAACATCCAAAAATCAATCAATATAATTCACCACATCAAATAAAAGAAAGTAAAAACCATATGAGAAAGTATGAGAAAAGATTCAGCAGCAAAATGTAACATATCTTAACACAATAAAAGTCACATATGACAAATCCACAGCTAGTTCCATTCTCAATAATGAAAAACTGAAAGCCTTTCCATTAAGATTCAGTATAAGACAAGGATGTCCTTGTTCACCACTCCTATACAATATAGTATTGGAAGTTCTAGCTAGAGCCATTAAGCAAGAGAAATCTACAAAAGGAATCTAAATTAGGAAAGAAGTGAAGCTGTCATTATTTGCAGATGATATGATGAGATTTATATATATATATATATATATATATATATATATATAGAGAGAGAGAGAGAGAGAGAGAGAGAATCCTAAAGACTCACAAATACACTGATTAAAACAATAAACCAATGTGTTTTAGTGGCAGCAAGTGGCAGGCTTCAAAATCAACAAACAAAAATCAGTTGCCTTCCTATGTGAACTGAAAGAAGACGTTAAGAAAGTCATCACATTTAAAATATCACCAAAAAAAAAAAAAAAAAGAATTAAGTACCTGAGAGTAAGCCTAACAAAGGAGGTGAAGGACATACAAAGGAAACTATAAGACATTGTTAAAAGAAATAGAAGACACAAAAAAAATGGAAAGCTATTCCTTCCTCATCAATTGGAAATATAACCAATGTCAAAGTGGCCACCCTACACAAAGCAATTTATAGATTCAATGCAAAGCCAATAAAATCTCAATGGCATTCTTCAAATCATCAAACAAATATTACTGAAATTGATATGGAAACAAAGAAGTTCATGAATTATTCAAAGTTCTCATGACTGAAAAAATGAAAAATGGTGGTATTACACTTTCAGACTTCAAACTCTACTTTAAGTCATAATAATTAAAACACATATTATTGGAACAAAAACAGATACACAGACCAATCGAATAGAACTGAGAGCCCATAAATAAAACCACACATATGTGGACAACTAATTTATAACAAAGGAAGAAAGGAAGAATATACACTGTGACAAGAAAGCCTCTTCAAAAAAACGTGTTGGGAAAAATTGTACTGCCACATGCAAAAGAATGAAACTAGACTACTCACACTACACATAAAAAATCAACTATAAATGTATAAGAAAACAAGAGTGTAAGTCCTGAAACCATAAAATACGCAGGAAAAAAACAGGCAAAACACCCCCAAAAGAAACTTCAGAAGTATCTTTGCAGATTCATTTCCAGCAGCAAGAAGAATATAAACTGGGACTATATCAAAATGAGAAGTTTTTACACATGTGCTGTATACACACAAGCACACACACATATAATAGTGAAAGAGTAACCAAAATGAAGAGACACCCTAGAAGAAAATATTTGCACACTATACATCTGACTAGGGATCAAATTCAAAGATCTACAAAGAGCTCATGCAATTCAACAAATAGAAAACAAATACCCAATCCAAAAATGGGCAGAGGAGATAAATAGCCACTTCTTCAAAGAGATATACAAATGCTCAACAGGCATATGAAAAAAAATGTTCAGCATCACTTGTCATCTGGGAAATGAAAATCATAGCCATGGTAAGATACTGTCTCACACCAGTGAGAATAGTACAACAACAACAACAAATGTAGAGATAAAGTCACTCTCTCTCTTACACTGTTGATGGATATATAGATTGTTCCAACCCCTGTGGAAAGTAGTGTGGCGTTTTCTCAAAAAAATGGATTGGTCCTACAATCTAGCAGTTTCACTCCAGAGAAGAGCAAAATCACTAAATCAAAAGGAAACCTGTACTTCTAAGTTTACTGTGGCACTATTTATAACAGCAAAGATATGAAAACAACCTAAATGCCCAAAAACAGGTTAGTGGATCAAGAAGATGTGGTCCATATATACAATGGAATACTACTCAATGATAAAAAAAAGATAGACTTATGCCAATTGCAACAACATGGATGGAGCTGGAAAGTATTATGATAGGCACAATAAGCCAGAAGGAGAAAGATAAATACTGGATGATATCACTTGTATATGGAATATAGAGAAACCAAGCAATTGGTGAGACAAAGAGAAACTTTAAAACAAACCCTTGAGAGCTAACCACAGATCTGAGAGATCTTAAAGAGAAGGGGGAGGAGGATGGATGAGACAGAGGAGAGCACAAAGGACTCTGGTGAAGAGCTATGGTACTTTGATGGACAGGATTACAGTGACGACACCTGAGGGGAGAAGTCTTATATTGTCAAAATATTAACAAGGATGTAAAACAATGGCATTTCATTTTTAAAAGTCTCTAATTAGTTTGCCTTCAGATATGCAGTATCTGAGTATGCCTGACTTAATCACCTGAGCCTTTTGAAGATGTATTTATTGATGCATACAAGAGCTAGGGTATAAGCCAGAGGTGTGGGAGGGTGAGAGGATTCACCAAAGACAGAGTGGGGAACAGAACAGGCAGATGGACTGACTGAAATACACTGCTGAGGGGAGCAGCGGGCGAGTCAGGAGAGGTCTGCTATGCCATGTGGGTAGCTCCCTGGCTGGGGTCAAACTCATGCTGCAGAGGCTGCGGATAGCCCCAGAGGCTGCGTCTTAACCCCTTGTGACAGCAGGGAGGCCCTCACATGAGCCTTTTTAAAATCATTTTCCCGTGGCTGGTGGCAGATGAAGAAATGGAGGGATTAAAAATGTGAGAGTAATTGGATACACTTGTTGAAATGAATATGGAGGGGAAAAGTGGTCAGAAATGTGGGCCACCTCTAGGAACTGACTTTCCATCAGCTGGTAACCAGTAAGGTTATGAGGACAACAATCCTACAACTTCTAGGAACTGAATTCTGCCAATGATCTGAATTAAAGCAGAAGTAGATTCTTCCATAGAACCTCCATGTAAGAACTCAGTCTAGTCAACATAACCATTTCAGTTTTGAAAGACCATAAGCAGAGAATCCTGTTTACTATGCCTAGATGATGCGTGTTTTTTTTTTTAAGCTGCCAAGTTTGTGATAATTTGCTATGCAGTAATAAAAAACTAATACACATGAGCTAGTGTCTTGAGATCATAGTCAGGTGACATGATAGAGTGGTGATGAGAACATAGGTCTAATGGATGTCAAAGGTTGTCTGCTTTTCTGTGCCAACATATAAAATTATCTTAGAAATTTATGTTCATTGTATAATAAGGTTGTCCCCAGGAAAAGGGGAAGTTCCAGGTTCCCTGCCCACCCAAGGGAGGGTGGAGCTGAGCAAGAAGGAGAAGAAGCTGGAAAGGAGACTGGGGAAGGAAGGAAGATGGAGAACCAGAAGGAGACCTGGAGGAAGCACATGGAGCAGAGAGACATGTGAAGAAGCTGCATTTGCTTTTTGCTCCTGGACTGGTTGAAACAGATGTGGGTGAGAGACCTATGGGGAGGTTAACAATGGCAGCTTTTATCTTGATTTTGATTTTTCTCTTTTCCTCTCAGACTTGTCTGGCTGTTTCTGACCCTTTTCTATGGGTCCCCAATGGAAGGTGCTTTAGACTGTGGCAGACTTTTGGGATTCAGAGTTCTTGCTTTGGGCCAACACAGTCTGGGCATTAACCCAGGAGGGGGTGGGTAACTTTGGATGCTTGATTTGGAAACTCTGTTCTTCCCTTTTTCCGTATTGCACACTAATTGTATTAAAGTTATTTTCCATTAAAGGTCTTGTGGACTAGAATATGTTTTGTCTTGATGAGATGGATGATAGAACCAATTTAGAGAGGACAGGTTTGGGTGTTTTGGGTGCCCCTCTCCCTGTTCTGTGACAATTGTTGTCCCCACATTCTATCATGGAAACCATAAAAAGGAAGCACCAAGAGATGACAATGCTTTCTGAAACCATGGTCACTATGACTGACAAAGCTGATAGAAAACCTCACATTTATTATTTTGGAAAGGTTGAACAAGGCACCACTTATAAGAAAAAAATAGGTGTGCTTTTTAACAATTCAAATTCTCATTCACTGCTTAGATGGACTATAACTGAAAAGCAACTATTAGTCAAATTTGTCAAAAAATGTGATATTAAAGAATTTGATAGCCATTTAGAGAATTGTTTTTATCAGTATGCAGTTAGATATATCTGAAAATACTTTTACTTGTTACAATTAGGATGGGGTCATTCAGAGATGCTGCAAGTTACTTTTCAATATGAGGGAGAAATACTGATTTAAATCAATGTTGGGATTTTAAATAATAAATACTGAGGTCCATGGATCATATTCCTCAGAGAAGTACAGAATCCAGATAGGAGGAAAAGAAAACCTTTAAGAAAAAAAATCATGATTTATGCCAGACTTTGAAAATCCTCAAGGTGCTCTAATTTTAAATGAAAGTAATTGTTTAAGAATGCAAGCTTGAGGACGTGCAGATGGGACACACACTCTCTCACACACACACATATGCGCACATATAGTCAGTGTTCACAGATGTCCAATATTACCACTAAGAATTGAGATAAGAGTCATACCAACATCTCTAGTTCTCTTGTTTTTAATGCTAGGGCACCTACTATGAGCAGACATTGAGTAAATTCTGGCTTCCTCTTGTAAATTTTATCTTGCAGATACCCCCAACCTTTTCCTCTGTTCATGTCCCATCTCTGTGGTCTCTCATCATCTCTCTCTGACATCACAGGAGACTAGACTGCTTCATGCACAATCATCTAATTGGCCCCAGAGTGATTTTTCTACAAAGCAAACCTACTTACATAGTTTACTTTCTTGAAATGTTCAACTGCCTTTCATTAAATTCAGAAACAGAATTTAAAGCTACAAATAACACTTGGTGATTCATACCCTAAATTTTATCCTTTACTGTTCCTCATCTGTCCTACTTCGCTCTCAGCTACTTAAGAATATTTTTGATGCCCTTCCTAAGCATGCAATTCACATTTTTATTATGATAAAATGCAAATAACATAACATTTACAATTATAACCATTTGAGAGTGTACAATTCCATAGCATTTAGTGTATTTGCAATGTTATATGAAAATCACCAATGTTTAACTCAAGAGCTATTTCATTATCCTAAAAGGAACCTCATCCTCATCAAGCAGTCACTCAACATGAACCTATCCTCTAGTTCTTTGCAATCACTAATCTACCTTCTGTCTCTGTGATTTGTCTACATTTGTATTTTGTATAAATAAGCCATACAATATATAATTTTTTGTAGCTGTCTTTTTTCAGTTATTTTTTCTCAACATTTTTACAACTCTATTACTTCTAACCTGAGAGCTCTTACATTTGAAAATTCCAATTCCTCCCCAGACAGAGCTGAATGATAATTATTGCATTCTGTCTATATTAAATATAGACCCTATATATAGGGTGTCTTTCTTTATTTAAATTTATCCAGTCACTGGTGGAAATAGTAATGTCTCTATTTTCTGAGTGCATGAATGAATAAACTTAAACAGAAAAAATTAGTAGAAGAGTAAAAACAGAAAAATAAATGAAAGGATCAGTTGGTGTGGAAGATCCATAGGAAGGGAACAGGAAATAAAAAGGGGAACCCACTGTGTCTGAAATGAGAGGCAAAAGCAGAGGATCTTTATGAAAAACAATGGGCTTCATTCGAGGCTAAAGTTATTTCCAAGTCAAAGATCTTAAAGTTGGGACTTGGTATTGGTAAGCTTTTACCTGGGAGGTAATGCTGTTAAAAGGTGCCCTTCCTTTCATATGTCATTTTTCTTGCACTTACAAGTATTCTCTGTATTCCTAAGATGATGTCACTGACAAGTTGACTTTTGCTAGTTCTGGTTCTGTTTCTTCCATGAACACTTGTTAAAGACGGTAGGTCTGCCTCCAGGAAGAGCAGGTAGAGAGAATTATCCATGAGATATCTGTGAAATACAGTTGTGTGCTTGGTTTAAACAAACTCTAGTATAAGTTAATAAAAGGGAGTCTTTATAATATCTAAGGCTTCCAGAATTCTATCACTGTGGCTCATTAAATAAAGTGTGCTATTATTAATCTGTTCCCTGAAGAATACGATTCTCTAGAAGCTAAGAAGTTAAAAAAAAGTAGACTTAATTTTGCAGGTATGACTCTTGGGGATGACTATTGATCCCAATATTTATTCCCTAACCAACATAAGACTCATTTCCTTAGACATGGTCTGTAGGGAGAAGGTTGTTAACTTACTATAGATTTGACATAAAATATTGGGAAAGGTCTACAAAATACCCAGGTTTTGACTCAGAAATGTGAAAAATCTTGTATTAGTTCTACATACAAAATATCTGAATCTTTGCTGCTCTTTCAGCTAAAACAATCATGGTTATGATTAATCATTGTTTTCATTTCACTTACAATTTTTTATTATATGACATTAATAAATGTGAAATTTCTAAATATGTCTATTTCCAAGTTTTTGTTTTTAATTTTGATCTTTTCTAAAATTCTACTTTCTCCAAATAATAATTTATAGTTATTTCGCATTCAGGTCTTATTGCATTGGTTTGACATTTTGGAACATTGTTAAAGTTCATGGCCAGTGTTGGATTCTTATTTTTCTTCTTTTGTTTCTTGAGGGAATAACACTCAAGTTACAATTTTAATATGGACAGACCAAGCAGGCAGATGGCATCAGAGCAAGTTCCCTTCTTTGCTCCCAAGATAAAAATTGAATAGGGCCCAGAGTGGCACTAGACTCAGAGGATCTCATGACTTGGAGTAAAATTGAAGTGCCTCCTGGACATCAAATATTAGTGCTGATCACAACAAAAAGGATACTAAGGAAATTCAACTCTACACAACAAAAAGTGCATGGAGAGAGACACCTGGATAATGTGATGGGCAGGAACTGGCAGTGAAAAACTGCACTCTTGTGTTTGGATGGTGATCCTGGGGAGGGGAAAGCTGATTGGTTTGGAGGCACACTCTTGATTGTGGGGAGATACATGCAGACGTATTAGGGTAAACCAGGCAGCCAGGTATACAGTGAAGAAAATAGCATGTCATGGCACTGCCATCTCCCAGTCCCTTGGATCGAAAATTGATTCTTATGACAGAATCCTGAAAGCCTGACCCACACGCTATAGTTACTTGAGTCTGGAAGTCGAGATAATAGGGCTATAAGCAGTGCCACAAATGTCAGCTGCCCCTGCATGTCATTTTCACCAGAGACTAGACTGCTCCAAGCCACTCACCTATCCCTTGACTTAGCAGCTGTACTCCAAGACATATAGCATCATCTGCTGAAAAACTGGATGTTCTGCACCTTCAGGACACTTGAAAAAATAGCAATCTAGAAAACTACAAAGTGGGGAGATAGAAAAATACAGCATATGACACCTTAAATTCTCAAAGGAATCTTTCATCACACAGAGAGAACAAATCTCCAGAATCCAGCCACCCCCAAAATGAAGACATTTTCTCCCTATCAGGTATAGAGTTCAAAATGTCATGATAAAGAATATTTAAAAGATGAAAGAAAACACAAAAAAGCTGGTCAAGTTATATAAAAAATAGGGGCCTCCCTGGAGGTGCAGGGGTTAAAGACACATCACTATCAAGCTGTTGGTAGCCACTGCAGCACAAGTTCGATCCCCAGCCAGCCAGGGAGCAACCCACATGGCACAGCAGACCTGTCTCACACGGCCGCTCCCCTCAGCAGTGTATTTTAGTATATCTGCCTGTTCTGCTCCAGCTCTCTCTGGTGAATCTTCTCTCACTCCCCTTCCCCTGCAACTCTGGTCTACACCCCAGTTCTTGTATGCATAAAGAAATAATCTTTCAAAAATATCTATACAAAAATAAAAGGAAACAAATGAACATCCTGAAAAATAAAATGGGTTAAAATAAGACAGAAATGGAATATTTAAATAAGAATATAATGGAGATGAAAGATATAAAAAGGTCAACAGAGGAGAAAAAATTTTCTGGAGAAAACTACACAAGTAACATAAACCAAATGGAAGATTTAATCAGTGATTTCAAGATGGTAATTCACCAAGAATCCAGGTGGAAGAAGAGAAATATGAAGAAAAAATGAACACTTCAAAAATTATCCAATACCAAAATATATCAGACAACTATTGTCATCTCTGAAAACAGACATCAGAGAAAACACATATGTAGTAAGAGACTTCAGCACACCACTGTCAATAATGGATAGATCAACGAGACAAAAAATAAGTAAGGTCACTAAAGCACTAAATAAGGATCTAGAGCTCATGGGCTTAACAGACATTTATAGAACACTAAACCCAAAAAAAATAAGAGTACACATTTTTCTCAAGCGCACACAGATCATTCTTCAGGATCAATCACATAACTCGGACACAAGACAAACATCAACAGATACAACAAGATTGGAATCATACCAAGCATCTTTTCTGACCATGAAGGCATCAAACTAGAAATAAACCATAAAAAGAAGGCAAGGAACTCTCCTACCTCATGGAGATTGAAACCCACACTACTGGAAGACCACTGGACTAATGAGGAGATCAAAGAAGAAATTAAAAAATACTTTGAGTTGAATGACAAGGAGGACACCAATTTCCTAAATGTATGGGACACAGCAAAAGCAGTAATAAGAGGAAAATACATAGCAGTAGAGGCTCACATCAAGAAACAAGAAAGATCGCAAAGAAACAACGTAATCTCAAAACTCAAAGAATGAGAAAAAGAACAACAACAACAACAACAACAAAAAAAAAAACCCAAAACCAGTAGAAAAAAAGAAATAATAAAAATCAAAGCAGAAATAAATGAAATCAAAACTAAAAAAACTATCCAAAAGATCAATGAAACCAAGAGCTGGTTCTTCAAAAAAATCAATAAAATAGAAAAACCCCTAGCCAGGCTCACAAAGGAAAAACGGAAGAAAGCACAAATAAACAGGATCACAAATGAAAGAGGAGAAATCACAACAGACACAGAATAAAGCAAAAGAATAATCAGAAACTAGTATGAACAACTATATGGAAACAAGTTCAACAATCTAGAGGAGATGGACAAATTCCTACAACTCTACAATCACCCAAAGTGAGATAAAGAAGAAATAGAACACCTAAACCGACAAATTACAACCAGCAAAATTTAAATGGTAATCAAAAACCTTCCCAAAAACAAAAGCCCAGGACCTGATGGATTTACAAATGAATTCTACCAAATATTCAGAGACGAATTAGTGCCTATCCTTCACAAAATCTTCCAAAAAATTGAGAAGGAAGGGACAATAACAAACACATTCTATGAAGCCAACATTACACCAATAACAAAACCAAACTAGGACAACACAAAAAAAGAAAACTACAGGCCAATATCTCTAATGAACACAGATGCAAAAATCCTCAATAAAATTTTAGATATCAGAATCCAACAATGGATCCATAAGATAATTCACCACGACCAAGTAGGATTCATCCCAGGGACACAAGGATGGTTCAACATCTGAAAATCAATCAATGTTATCCAACACATCAAGAAAAAGAAATATAAAACCATATGATAATATCAATAGATGCCAAGAAAGCTTTTGACAAAGTGCAACACCCATTCATGATAAAAGCCCTTGAAATTCTTGGGATACAAGGAACACACCTCAATATCATAAAGGCCATCTATGACAAGCCAACAACCAGTATCATTTTCAATGGTGAAAAACTGAAAGCACTTCCATTAAGATCTGGAACAAGACAAGGATGTCCACTCTCACCACTGCTTTTCAATATAGTACTGGAAGTCCTAACCAGAGCAAGAAGACAAGAGAAAGACATACAAGGAATCCAAATAGGAAAAGAAGAAGTCAAACTATCACTATTTGCAGATGATATGATAATATACAGAGAACCCCAAAAACTCCACAGAAAAACTAATTCAACTCATCAATCAGTTCAGTAAAGTGGCAGGATACAAAATCAACACGCAAAAGTCAGTAGCCTTCCTATACACAAACAATACATCTGAAGAAGAAATCAAAAAACCCATCCATTTTATTATTGAAACAAAAAAAATCAAATACTTGGGAATAAATCTAACAAAAGAGGTAAAGGACCTATACAAAGAAAACTATAAAATACTGTTAAAAGCAATAGAAGAAGACACAAAGAAATGGAAAGACATCCCCTTCTCATGGCTTGGAAGAATTAACATTATCAAAAATAGCCATCCTACCAAAAGCAATTTACAGATTCAATGCTATTCCAATAAAAATTTCAATGTCATTCTTCAAAGAAATAGAACAATTATTGATGAAATTCATATGGAATCACAAAAAACCCCGAATAGCCAAAGCTCTCCTGAAAAAAAAAAAAGAGAAGGGAATGGAGGCATCACACTCCCAGACTTCAAACTATACTACAAAGCCATAATCATCAAAACTGCATGGTACTGGAACAAGAACAGACACACGGACCCATGGAACCGAGTAGAAAATCCAGAAATAAACCAACAGATTTATGGTCAACTAATCTTTGACAAAGGAGCAAAGACTATGCATTGGAGCAAAGAAAGTTTGTTCAATAAGTGGTGCTGGGAAAACTGGGTTGCTACATGCAAAAGAATGAAGCTGGACTACTACCTCACACCATACACAAAAATCAACTCAAAATGGATTAAAGAACAAGACATAAGACCTGAAACCATAAAATATATAGAAGGAAATATAGGCAAAACACTACGTGATTTGCACATCAAAGACATCTTTACAGACACATCACCCAAAGCAGTGATAGTGAAGGCAAAGATAAACAGCTGGGACGACA